CTCTCTGTTACTGCTTCAGTTGTGAAGACCCATAGCACCTAGAAATGCATGCCTGTTTCCTGTGCCTACCACTCTGAAGCTCGAACAAGAAGCTCAGAGCTGCTCCTTCCACTTCCTCCCCAAAAGGGATAAAGAAAACCCACTGGTAGAACCAAACCACCCAAGGTCAGCCCTTCAGCCTGCCTCCTCCTTCCTGGGGCATGACAAAATACTTCTTTTGTCTCAGAGGACTCTGATGCTTCAAGACTTAATGATGAATCTCTGCCACACTCCATTTTCCCTCCTCTGTAGCTCCCAACAACTCTGACATGGTCAGATCTCTTTAAAGCATCTTCGGGAGGCGGTTGCCACGGAGACTGGATATTGGTCCCAGGGACAGTCTGTGCTGCCTACCGGGTGGTGGGGAGGGAAGCTTCTGGCCATGCTTAGACATTCAAACCAACCATCATTAATGTTAATAGAGGAAATGCAGCAATGTCAAAAGCAAGACAGGTTGGTTAATTAGATCTGGGGCCTGATGACCTCCCTCTCCCACGGTTACAGTCCTTTTGACTTCCCCCAGCAGGAAGCGCTGTCTGTGTGGCTGCGTCTGGGCTGCTTGCTTAATTGCATTTCTGGCAGGGAAGGAGAGGGGGGATGGAGAAGCTCTGCTCCCTGCTTCCACCTTGCCACGTTTCCTCTCCTCCCCTCCCCTGTCTGCCCCTTCTCCGCACAGGCAGAATTTCTTCTGAGCCGAGCCGGCTCTCCTGCAGGTAGAATGCCGGAATCTGTGGTTGGCTCTTAGCAAAGCAGGTGGCCCACAGTGACATCCAGGAGGTGGCTGACTTTCCTTTGTGCCTTATTTCCCAGTAGGAACTTGGAAGGGAGGAGCTCTGAAGGAGCGAGAGGGGCAGCCACCCCGAATGAGGGTGAGGAAGGAGATGCCCAGCCAGCCTCTACCCATCCCTCCCTCCCAATTAGGCTGCACTGGGGCTGAACGCTTCCCTGGCTCCTGCTGCCTTCTAAGGATCCAAGGAGAATTCTCTGCCCATTTTCTCTTCCTCCATGCCGAGACTGGCAGATGCCTTTCTGGGTGCAAGGCTACATGGGTTGATGCAGCTTTGAATACTCAGGTTCTGTTTTCTGGAAGATGCTGGAGAAAGGCTGTCAGGGGGCTTCTCGGAATATGGGCGTCAGCCTTAGCGCTTGGCAGAAATGTGTCCCACAAACTGCTGGTGGAGGAAGGAGACATTCGTCGACCAGTTCAACTTCCAGCCAGCTTCTTGAGTCTCATTTGGTTAAAAAAAAAAAAGCCTTCTAATCAGAAGCCACTGACTTTTATAATAAATAGCACTTGTTTTGAATGCCATGTTGTCTTTGTACTTAATTGAATCTGACTTGCCCTCTGGCTCCCAGAAAAGCCTCCCTGAGAAGAACATTGTGAGTGCGGGAACCATCCCTGGTGTCATGTCCGAGGCTGGGCTAATTCCTGCAGAGGCCCTGGGCTGGGCAGGTGAGCCTGATTACTCCAGGTGGCGTTTGGGCCTCTCCATGGATACAGTTACTTGAGTAATGTTGGTTGCCATTTTGGTACATTTAAACTGATCCAAAATAAGTAGGAAGCTGGACCTCTGATTGTCCTCACTTAACCTGCTCACATGGCAAAGAAAGGTGTGCAAGAAGAAGTTGTCCCCTTCCCAGACAGTCCAGTGTCCCAGCACTGTAGCAACTAGCCATTCTGCCTAACAGGCCCCCATCTTGACAGGGGTCTCCTGTTAGCGGGAGTGATATTAGGATCTGAAGGCAGCAGGAGCTGACCTGAATGTTGGACAGAGGTGGGGGGAGGGGAGTTAGCACCGTGCTGTGGAACTGGGGGTCTTCTGGGCTGCCTAGCCACCCTCTGGTGGCGCGGGTGGGGAGAGTGGGGCGTGTGGATCTTCGGGAGATGGAACATGCCTACGACAGGCAGGTTAGGAAGGGGCCAGATCAGTCTTCCTTGAGTGGTACAGCTTAGTTTACAAAGTCTCAACACCCCTCCAACAATCCTCATAAAGGCCCAGTGAAGTCAATGATGGTTTTGTTCCCATTCTACCCATGAGAGATCAAATTACTTGCCTTAAGTTCCCACGATTAGTTAATAGTAGAGCCAGGACTCTCTAGCCTGGTCCTGGGACTAGAAGCACCTTCCCAGAACAGCTTGTCAGTCCTAGATACCCCAGGGAGAAGGCCTGAGCACTCAGCCCAAAGTCCCTGACGCAGCACGTTCCTGTGAACCTGCTGCTTAATGCATCAGCAGCTGCTCATATAGGGCTTAGTTTTCTGGGCTCCCCCAGGTGCACCCAGATCAGTGTATGCTGGTAGATGTTTGACTCCACAGGTGCTCTGGGAGGAAAAACTGGTATGTATAGCATTTGCCAATTTCCATGGTGTAACTGTTCCCACCATGTTCTGTTTTTAGGCTACCAACTTGTCACTGAATGAGAAGCTGGAAAGAGATGCACACAGCTGGTTCTTGAGAGGCGTATAAAAGCTGGCTCCAGTGGCCGGGCGCGGTGGCTCAAGCCTGTAATCCCAGCACTTTGGGAGGCCGAGGCGGGTGGATCACGAGGTCAAGAGATCGAGACCATCCTGGTCAACACGGTGAAACCCCGTCTCTACTAAAAATACAAAAAATTAGCTGGGCATGGTGGTGCGTGCCTGTAATCCCAGCTACTCAGGAGGCTGAGGCAGGAGAATTGCCTGAACCCAGGAGGCGGAGGCTGCAGTGAGCCGAGATCACATCATTGCACTCCAGCCTGGGTAGCATGAGTGAAACTCCGTCTCAAAAAAAAAAAAAAAAAAAAAAAAAAGCTGGCTCCAGCACACCGCTGACCCAGACCCAGTGACCATGGCTTGATCTGAACTATGAGTGGGGCTCCTGGCCATAGCCCATTAAAGCAAGGGGGGCATGGAGGCCTACAGCCTGGGCCAGAGAGACCTGAGGTCAAATCTTGGCCCCACCGCTTATTAACTGTGAATTTGGGCTAGTTGCTTAACCTCTGACTCTGTTTCCTCAGCTGTAAAACGAGGGTATGATAAATAGCACCTACTTCGCAGAGTTATTGTGAGGAGGAAAAGAGGAAATGAAGTAACATGCCCCGAACAGTGTCCAGACATAAACGCCAGCTCTGTATTATGATTAATACAGAGACCTCAAAGACAACATTGGCTCTGGGACAGTACTTGAACTCTCTTCTAGGTTCTTGCCTCCTGGTTGGATGACCCACAGGGAGGAGAGCACCTGTGACTTTTACTGAGCCCCTCAAATGTGGGCTCAGACCCTTGGTCTACTGGTGGGAATATATCACTCTGGTCGCTTAGGCCCATCCAGATTCTCAGGCCTTTCTTGAAGGGAGCAGGGATAGAGTGCACTTAGCTTGGCTTATCTTAGCATGTATCTCTTGGCTCTGGGAAGACTAAGAGTGAAGCCATGGTTTGACTGCTGACTACACTTAACTAGCTATGGCCATTAACTCCCCCTGCCTCATCAGACTCCAGACCCTGGCCGGAGGAGAGAGGAAGCAAGATGGGTCCTAAGTGTAGACTGCTGGCAAGAAGCACGAGCTGGGTAGAGTGGGGTACCTTAGACCAGCCAGGTGGCCTGCACAGAGCATCTGGGCACTGAAGAGTGAAGGTCACCAGTGACATGTGGTCTTGCCCTGTGACCTGCTGAACCTGGCCGCAGATGCATGAGACCCCAAGCTGGATGTTTAGTCACGTCTTCTCCCTGCAGCACCCCTCCCTTTGTGCTCTTGCTTGGGGATCTCTTGGACCCTACGATCCCAGCTTTTCCAGGCTGCCTCATAGCCTTGCTCTCCTGCTCCAGCGCAGAGATGTGTGGGGAAATGGGGAATAGAATAGGAGGCACCACAAACTCCTGAGTCCTTGGAAGAGGGAGAACCACTAGGTGGTTTCCTGGGGCATGGCTGGGAGCAGGAAAGAAGAGTTCTGAGGCACTCAGTTCTGATTCAGGGCCAGAAGGAGAAATTTTAAAGGCCAGGATTCACCACTCCGTGTCTAGCACAGGGCTGGGCATGGAGCCCAGCTGTTCATAACCAGGGGCTCAAGAACACACGCACCTTGTACCCATGGAACAGAAGGAGGTGGACTAGAAGGCCCCAGAGCCTGCGCCACCCAACTCCCTTGCTGCACAACTGAGGAAACAGGCCCAGAGAGGCGTGGATTGATAGAGGAGATGGGCTTGGAGGCTCCTGAGGGAACAATGAGAGACAAAGGAAGGTGAAACGGGTTCTCTCCCAAACCTGGGCTACCAGCACTGTGCGGAGCCTGAGGAACTTTCTGCTTCAAAGTGAAAAGTTTAGTTCTAATGGACAAGTGGCCAACTGCACACCGAGTGGGGAGCATGGATTCTATCATCTGAACTTCTATCGAAAAAATTAAACTACTTCCATTAAAAAAAAAAATGATTAAAAATCATGGAAGTGGGGAGGGCCCCGGGAGGGGAGAGGTGAAAAATACAAATAAAAATTAAATCATGGAATGGTAGAATCTTAGAGCTGAACCCCCTCAAGATTTCATCCTGGCCAAGCAGAGCTGGGATAAGATTCCACCCTGGCCAAGCAGAGCTGGGATTAGAACTGGAGTTCACGGATTTCTAAAGATGGAGTCTCAAAAAAACCCAAGCCTGGCTGGGGATGGCTGTGGTCTTGGCCCTGTCCCTAGGGCTGAAAGCCCTGGTGGTCCCCAACGAGTGCGGGTGCCCTAGTCAGACCCAGAGCTAGACGCCCCAGGCTGCCTCCCCAGGCCCCACCTGCGGAAGGAAGGAGACTGCGGGCCAGGTAGGTGGCAAACTCAAATGCCTCTGGCAATGCTGGAGTGGAGGGGCCTGTGAAGAGAGGGCGCATGCAGCGCCTACCTGAGGCCACCAAATTCAACACAGTGGCCTCGGGAATCGGGAGGAGAAACTGAGGCCCAGAGAGCCTCGGCGATGTCAGTTACGTTCTGCAGGCCAGGCCTTTCCCAGGCCACCAGGTCGTCGCTGGAGGAGGGAGCGCGCGCTCGCTGGCCTGGAGAGGGCGGGGGCCGCAGTGGCTTTAAAGCGCCCAGCCCGGGCGGCGCGGGGCGGGGCGGCTCTCGCGACTGGGGGACGCAGGGCGCAGCGGCCGAGCGGGGTCCCCGGAAGCACAGCTGGGCACCTCCGCCTACGGCCGGCCGCGCGCCTCTTCTCTCCCGCGCCAGGGAAGAAGCGGCTACGGCCCCCACTGGGCGGAGGCACGGGGGTCATAGAGGGGGCGGAGGGGTCCACGTCGCGGAGGAGATGGTGCAGCACGTGCTGTGACGGCGCCCGCGCCCCGAGGGTCCCAGCCCCGAGTCCCTGGGACAGCATGGAGCGCCCGGAGCCCGAGCTGATCCGGCAGAGCTGGCGGGCTGTGAGCCGCAGCCCTCTGGAGCACGGCACAGTCCTGTTCGCCAGGTGAGGGCGGCCCGAGCGCCCCAGGGGTGCGGGTGGAGGCTGCCTCGGCGGGAAAGGGGTCACGCAGCAGCACCGGCCCCGGAGGAGTGAAAACTGGCCGCTGCCGGGGCTCTGGGGCGCCTGCCAGATGTGCGCCAGAAGAGCGGGGCGCGGCGACGGCTGGCACTGCCCCTCTGCCTTTCTCCCGGTCGTGGGCGCCTGTTGCCAACCAGCGCCGCACACTCTGCTCCCAACGGGGCTCACCTGGTCGGGCGGGGTCCCCTCCCGCGGATCTCCCCACATACGGGCGAGTGGACCTCCGTCCCCGCTCTGCGCCTCCATCCCGCCTTGTGCCTCTTGCGTGTTCCTTGCGTGGCGATTTGCAGGGGTGCCCCTGCTGCCGGTACCAGGGCACTGGGGTACCCCGAGGGCCGGGGAGGGGAGGTGTGCGGGGCGAGCTCCTGTGTCCGCGTGTGAGCGCGCGGGGTCCGGCTCCAGGTTTGTGGATTCCTGACAACCAACGGGACAAAGCTTTCCGAGGAAAGGTCCAGAGAGCCGCCGGGGAAGGGGTGACAGACGCGGGAACCTCACCGCAGGGGAGAGGGATGCGGGGTGCGCAGGGCCTGGGGGAAGGGGAGGCCAGTCTCCAACTGGCCGTCTCGGTAACCCCTCTGTCATCACCAACCGGGCACCGCTTCTCTCACCGTGGTGTTCCCAATCCTTGGCACCCTCACGCAGTCCAGAACTTCTGCCCAGGCTTCCGCAAAACCAGCCCGAGATAAAAGAGGAAAAAATTCAGTTACCCAGTGAGCCCTCCCAATGCCGAGGAGAGCCTCTGCTTCTGCCTCCGGACTCCCCCCAGCCCACTTTTTTTTCAGGCACCCGCTGTGGCTCCGCGACATCCAAACTGTGTGACCATAGGCAAGTTCTAGCCTCACTGGGCTTCTGTTTTCTCCTCTGTAAAACTGGGATAACACTTGAATCCACTGCTAAGGACTGTGAGAAATACAGTTACAAGTTAATCACACGGAAAATACTCAGCGCAGGAGAGAGAGAGAAGGGCTTTCCTCTACTCAGCGCAGGAGAGAGAACGGCTTTCCTCTCTGCACAGTGTAACTCCAGGTTTCCTGTTTGGGGACTTCTTCTTGTCCCAAATCCCATCCCTCAGCTATTCACTGAGGGGCTCCTGCGTGCCAGGTGTTGTAAGAGGCCCCAGGACACATTGCCCTTTCTAGGATGCTGCCCAGAGCCAGTGGAAGGTGTGACAAGGAGGGCAGGGCCAAAGCTGGCCAGGGAGCAGTGCCAGGTGGGAGAGTCTGCTGTACTTTGCAGCTGAGACCCGGCTTGGCACCCTGCCCCAGGGCTTGCTGGGGCTTGCAGGGGCTCACACCCAGGGCTAACACCTGGACCTCACACCCACAGGCTGTTTGCGCTGGAGCCTGACCTACTACCCCTCTTCCAGTACAACTGCCGCCAGTTCTCCAGTCCGGAAGACTGTCTCTCCTCACCTGAGTTCCTGGACCACATCAGGAAGGTGAGGGTGGGTGGGGCTGCAGGGGCCTCTGGGATCCAGCAGAGCACCTCCCTGGTGGAGAATGGGGAAAATAACTTTCTGCCCCAGGCCTAGTCTTACTCCCCTTCTGTTCCCCGAAGCAGGGTATCAGCTCCTTTCCCTCTGGGCTGGATTGGTCTGGGACATCAGAATCAGCCTATTCCCCTACCCTGTGCTCAGAGAGCTGGTCCCAGCCTCTGTAATGACAGGCTCCCATAGGTTATGTTAGCACAAATCCTGGCCATTGGGAGCCATCTGCCTATGAAAACCAGGCTGGGATTTTCTTAGAGTCTCATGATTTTCTTTCTTTCCTTCTTTTTTGAGATGGATTCTCACCCTATCACCCAGGCTGGAGTGCATATGGTGTGATCTCAGCTCACTACAATCTCTGTCTCCCGGGTTCAATTGATTCAGCCGCCCGAGTAGCTGGGATTACATGGGTGTGCCACCACACTCAGCTATTTTTTGTATCTTTAGTAGAGACAGGGTTTCACCATGTTGGCAAGGCTGGTCTTGAACTCCTGACCTTGTGATACGCCTGCCTTAGGCTCCCAAAGCGCTGCAATTACAGGCATGCACCACTGCGCCTGGCCGTATTTTTCTTCTTCTTTTTTCTTTTTTGGAGTCTCAGGATTCTCAAAGGGCCTCGGTTTCTCCTTGTCCCAGTAGGCGTGTTTAGAGATGTGAGTTCCTCAGAGGAGACAGGCTTCCTTCATGGGTGTAACATTAGAGTTTGGCCATCACATATTGCGTGCCCCCTGCATGTAGTAGACACAGGCTGCCTTTGACCCCTGCTCTTGGAGAACTGAGGGTCCTGCTGGCCTCTCTTGCTTTGGGACCCTCAGGCCTTTGGCTGTGATTGTGAGCAGGTGGGGCTGCTCTGGCCTCTCTGTTTCACTGCTGCTTGGCCTTGGCAGGTGATGCTCGTGATTGATGCTGCAGTAACCAATGTGGAAGACCTGTCCTCACTGGAGGAGTACCTTGCCAGCCTGGGCAGGAAGCACCGGGCAGTGGGTGTGAAGCTCAGCTCCTTCTCGGTGGGTAAAGGAGCTCTGCCTCTCTCCAGAGCTCCTGACCTGGGGCCACTTCTCTCTCCCAGATCTCCCCTAGCCACCCATTCTCTCTCCCATTCCCATAGCCTTGGATAACCAGAGATGCATCTGTTACCTGCTGTGTAGCCTCGACATGGGCTTGACCTCTCTGAGCTTCCAAGTTTTCTTTTCTGGTATGGCTTCTTTTAAACCATAAAAGTTAAGGAGCCTTTGGGATTAGCTGGTCTGCTCAATTTTCTATTGCTGTGTATCAAACAACCTAGAACTATGACAATGCTTTCCAGTTTCTCATGGCTGGGCTCAGCTGGGCAGCTCTTCTGTTCTGCGTGGCGTAGCTGGAGTTACTTGTGTGTTGTGTTTAGCTGGGAGCTCAATTGAGGCTAGAATGTCCAAGGCCTGTCAGCCTTTGAGCTCTCTCCCTGTGACCTGTTGTCATTCACTAGTCTAGCTGAGCTTCTTTATGGAATGAATGGCAGCTGAGTTCCAAGAGGGAGATTTTAGGGGACAAGCTCCAGCGTGCAAGCGTCTGTAGAGCCTCTGCTTGTGTCACTCTTGCTAATGTCCCATTGTCCAAAGCCATTCACATGGATAAGCCCAGTGTCAGTGTGGGAGGACCCTACTCAAGGGCATAAATCCTTGAGGTGTGGCCCATTGGGGGCCACTGATATGACAGTCCACCATATAATCCGGTCACCTTGCCAGACAGTGAGCACTTTGAGGAAGGGGCTGTGTTGGTCTTGCCCTTCTCTCCATCCCCAGCACTAGTACAGTACCTGATCCACAGTCGATATTCAGTTAATATTTGTGAGATAAATAAACCTTATTTTATTATGAGTAATAATAGCAAATGAGAGCCATTATCTTTTATTTAGTTAGTTAGTTATTTATTTTGGGAACAGTCTTGCTCTGTCGCCCAGGCTGGAGTGCAGTGATATGATCACAGCTCACTGCAGCCTGAACCTCCCAGGCTCAAGTGGTCCTTCCACCTCAGCCTTCCTCATAGCTGGGACCACAGGCATGCACCACCATGCCCAGCTAATTTTTGTAATTTTGGTAGAGATGGGGTTTTGCCATGTTTCCCAGGCTGGTCTCAAATTCCTGGGCTCAAGAGGTCTGCCCACCTCAGCCTCCTAAAGTGCTGGGTTTATAGGTGTGAGCCATCAAGCCTGGCCTATTATCATTGTAGGTTTCCTGTATACAGATGCTGTGCTAAGAGCTTTTTCTGGATTATTCCATTTTAATCACCCCAACAGGTCCAGGAGTTGGAGCTTCTACTTTCCCTGTATCACTGATGAAGCGGCTGAGGCTCGGAGAGGTTACATAACTTACTGAAGGTCACCCGGTTGATGAAGGGTGGAGTCAGAATCTGAACTCAGGTGTATCTGGCTCCAGAGTCCAGGCTTTTAGCCCCATCATTGCTACCTTGCAGATGAGGAACTGAAGTCTGGGGGCAATGACTTGGTTTGGTCTAAACTGGGAGGTCCCAGGCAATGCTTCGGCCCCAGTCATGGGGTGGTTGCAAGACTAAGAGTGGGATGAAAAACGTGAGGATAGGCGGCCGGGCGTGCTGGCTCACGCCTGTAATCCCAACACTTTGGGAGGCTCAGGCGGACAGATCATGAGGTCAAGAGATCGAGACCATCTTGGCCAATATGGTGAAACCCTGTCTCTACTAAAAATACAAAAATTAGCCAGGTGTGGTGGTGTGCATCTGTAGTTCCAGCTACTCAGGAGGCTGAGGCAGGAGAATTGCTTGAACCCGGGAGGCAGAGGTTGCAGTGAACCAAGATTGTGCCATTGCACTCCAACCTGGTG